TTCTCTCTCGCAGTCTCACTTCTTTTCTTTTGACTTTTCTAAGATGACAGATGCTGAATATATACTCCCTATCTGATGCTGTGGCTGTTTGTGGTTGGCTGAGAGGGATGTGAACTCATTAGTTTGCAGCTGTGTTAATCAAATCAGGTTGGGTTTCCATTACGCGTGCCAAACGTGCCAAACGTGCCAAACGGTGCCAATCCCCTTTGATCTGACATCAGATGTGACGGGACAGTCGATATAGAGATACATTTATGTGCTGATTGCAGATAGTTGCATTGAATAGTGGTTTTGTGGGTATTTATTGCATCGTTAATGTGCCTGATATTCTGGAAACCTGCCTGTGAGGTTTTGGTGACGTGTGCGCACTGTCCGCCGGTCAGCCAAACTTCGGCTTACACCGGCTGCGCTCCGCCTGCGCTGACAGTAGACCTGGTTTCAGCTGGCGAGCTTTTACTGCACCTTCGGCGAAGCCTTTTGGCACGAAACTGTCACTGCGCCAAGCTGGATCTGTCGACACCTCTCCCTGCTGTGCCACCACTCCCATCTCAGCGCACCTCGGTCTGCCAAACTACCAAACTGAGCGCGCCTTGGGTTGCACTGCTCGAAACTAGCTCTGCGCGGGGTTCGCCACCCTGCGCCACCCTGCGCTGCGCCGGGAAACTAGAGCCCAAAGTCACATTATTGGCATGTTTACAGCAGGCGGGATGGGAAAGTTTTAGCAGCAGGTGTTCAACAGACACAAACAATGAATAAGAAGGCCTGAGGTGTTTGTTGTGTTTCTCCTCACAATTAACGGTGTGGACGCTCCGAGCCCTTTGAACAGAAACTGTCTGCTGTGTGATTATAGAAAAACACATTTCACTCTCTGTATGTTGAAATGTTCTCAGTAAACTGTGTTCTGTTTCTTGTTCTGTAAAAACCTGAGATCTGATGTAGGAGAGGTGTCTTCTGCCTGCAGACTTCAGTACTGTGAAGCCTCAGGCGGGAAGCCGTCGGCTGTTTGATGTGACACCACAGTCTGCTCTGGGACGGTGATGTAATCTTCATCTGAGCATGTCGTTGAGTCTGAATCTGCTGCATCAATAACTCCAGCTAAAAACTGAAACTTCTTTTGGCCATTTCTTTCCTTCCTCAGATCAGAAGAAACCCGGACACTCAGCTGCTCTTAAGACTGCGTAACACAATAACCTAAAGCTAAAAGGACCACTTACTAAAATTTGGGGCTCTCAACCACCTTCTTCCTCTCCCCAGTCTTTATCATCAGAAGTCCCTGGGTCATGTGTGTCATCATGGAGACCAGTAACCAGAGGAAAATGTTGGCATTGCAGGTTTCTGCATACCACAAATATGTTACACTTGTATGTTTCATACAAATCATATCAACATCTTAAAAGTGACGTAGTTCAGATGACATAAACTGAGTTTCTCATCAGAGGGAGGAAATTGTGGATGATGTGACACCGAGGCAAGACACCAGCAGCAGTCCAGCTCCTCCAGGATGGCACATCCATACATGTGATCGCAAGAAGGTTTGCTGGGTCTGGGGAGGCAGATCCTTGGAGGGTCACACAGACCTCCATGTCAGAGCCAACAGTACCCTGACTGCTGTTAGGTACCAGGATGAAATCCTCAGAGCGACTGTCAGACCTTACGCTGGTGCAGAGGGCCCTGGGTTCCTCCTGGTGCAGAGGGCTCTGGGTTCCTCCTGGTGCAGAGGGCTCTGGGTTCCTCCTGGTGCAGAGGGCTCTGGGTTCCTCCTGGTGCAGAGGGCCCTGGGTTCATCCTGATGCAGGACCCGGCCTCATGTGTCCAGAGTGTGTAGGCAGTTCCTGGATGATGAAGGCATTGATGCCATTGACTGGCCCTCTCGTTGCCCTGACCTAAATCCACCTGGGCACCTACAGTATGGGACGTTATGTATCGGTGCATCTGATGCCACCAAGTACCGCCACAGACTGTCCAGGAGCTCACTGCTGCCCTGATCCAGATCTGGGAGGAGATCCCCCAGGACGCCATCTGCCGACTAATCAGGAGCATGCTCAGATGTTGTCAGGAGGTCATACAGGCAGGAGGGGGCCGTACACACTACTGAGTCACATGATGAGTTGATGTGATAAAATTCACACAAGTTGGATCAGCCTGTGATTTCAATGTTTTACTTTGATTTTCAGTGTGATTTTGAACCCAGCCCTCCGTGGGTTGATGACTTGATTTAAAAACAACAACTAAAAACTAAAAATTCGACCTCATTGTGGCACAATATGAAAATTCAAGGGATCACCAAAGTTAGTAGACTTCATCCTTTGGGATCTGTGAATGCCTGCTTAATTTTTTCATGGTATTCCATCTGATAGTTGTTAAAGTATTTTAGTGGACTGCTCGGTTTCCTTTAATGACTCATGTCTGAAACATCCTGCTTTGTTATGTCGAAACACGATAGAGATTCCAAAAAGTTCATATCACAGGAGGTTGGCTGCAGTAGAAAAAGTGTCAGTTGTCTTGCAGTGGTGCTGCTGGCTCAGCTGTCAATCAAACTTGCACACGAGCCGCCCACTCTGAAGTTTTAGGGCTAAATAAACATTTTTATGTCTTTACTAGAGATTTTGGCAGCACAGAGACAGAATACATGAGGAAAGAGACAAAAAACAACACGCAACAAAGATTCCCAGGCGGACTCAAACAGGAGACGCTGCAGTTCATAGTGGGTGCCTTAATCCCTCGGCCACAGAGGCCTTTTGCTTTCATATAATAAATATTAACAGTAAGTTGTTGAATTGAAAATCACTTTGACATGATGTAATCTGAACAGATTCTGAAGCCTGATCTGTCCAGATCTCTTCAGCTTCCGTCAGAGATTCAAAACACCTCGTTGCTTCTACTGCTTTTCCTCACACAATCTTGAAAATCAGATGTCTTGTCCAAATTCTGGTCATTATCAGTGGTGCAGAGCGTTCCTGGTTAAAACCTGAAACAGCAGCATCCTCAGTAGCTGAACAGTAGCATCAGAAAAAAGACTGATAAACTATGTTTAGAGGGAATGACAGTGAATCGCTCCACCTGTCCTCCAGATCTCCCCACAGACACGATAATGAGCAAAATCCTCCATCTGGCAGCTCGCTTACAGGAAACTCAACCCAAAAAACTGTTGTCTGAATGTGCTAAATTTAATTCTGCTCTAATTAGTTTTGTGTCGAGAGACTGCGGAGCAGGCAGGGCTGTGCCTGTGGTGATCAGAAACTAATAAATCATCAATCAGTCAGATGAGAGGCTTTGAGACAGCCCCCTCTCCTAAAAACCTCTGTATCTCTCGTGTAGAGACATGTGACATAGCAAGTAGCTGTCAAGTTCAACATTTAGGTGCTTTTAAAGGATTCTAGCTTTAAAACCAATCAGCCAAAGTTTTGGACCAAGCTTATGTTAATGATGTAGTCAAATGTGAGTTCATTTTCGATTTCCAAGGAGCATTATCGATGGCAGCGGACCAAAATGCCTCAGGACTGGGACTGGACTGGACCGTCTCAGAATTAATCACCGTTTCAGGGCATACAGTATTACACATTTTTAAGCCAACGGCATGAGACTTGCTTCGGTGTTTTGGTTCTCCTGCTCTCTCTCTCTTTCTCTCTCTCTCTCACACACACACACACACACACAGAAAGACTCACAAACAGGACACACTGCACACACGCCTCCATCCATCCAAATCAATTTCTCCTGAGTGATACCGGGGAGGTGTGTTTCTCATGACCATGGAGCACCACTGCAACTTGCAAATATATATATATGTGTATATATATATATATATATATACATATATATATATATATATATATATATACATGATCTTACCAGCTTACAGTGAAAAAAATCATCACATTTAACGACGCGAATTAACTTAAACTTAAAGATTAAAGATAGCGTGAGAAGGCAAGTTGCATTTCTCATCTGCAGGGCTCCAGGCCGCGACTATTCAGTCACATTTTGTGACCATGGAGCACCAGTGTGACTTGCAAATCCTTTAAATATATAATTTGGAGAGCTGTTGGTGAGATTTCAACTGACAGTGAGTGAATAAATCCTCATGTTTAAAGACGCAGCGGCACCAGTTTAACTTTCTGCTAACTGTTAACAACAACTGTTGACTGGAAGCTTCAAGTTCACAGCAAAAACATCAACACGTCCAGTGCGAGGCGAGCCGGGTGCTTCAAAATAAAAGCACCAGTGGTTCTGCTTTGATTTATTTAACTATAACAATACATTGTCCAACTTCATCCTAACATAAGTTAATTTAGCTTTATTACATCAGAAGCTACTTTATTTGCTTTATTGTGATTGTAGTTAATTTAATAATTTTGTATTTTCATGGTCAACAGTACTTTGGAGGTGATTTCAAAATGTATATCATGTATCACGATATAGCCTTAAAATATCGAGATACTATTAGATATTTTTTTTAGCCATATTACTCAGCCCTATGTGTGACTGTATCTAAAATCATGAGCTTGCAGATTTGTCTGGTTCCCAGGCTACTAGCTAGCTACAACTGATCATATCTACACTTCAAAATCAATTGTTCACAGATAAATAAGAAGCTGACAAAAGCTTACAAAATCTAAGCATAATGGAGCCTTAGCAACGGTACTGCCTCAGCTTTATTTGTTATTTCTGCATGTCAGGATACCTCCTCGTGTATTATTTCCAAAACACAAATGAAAAAGTCACAATTCGATGCAAAGTTTTCACAACTACATCCCCCAGAAAAAAAAGGTAGAAAAAGACTGTGCAGCACTGTGAGCATCACAGTCTGCAGGATTTCAATATGCTGTCATCAGTGTCACACAAAAACATACTGTACGTGTGTGTGTGTGTGTGTGTGTGTGTGTGTGTGTGTGTGTGTGCTGCTGACAGTGTGTGCTTCCATTTATAAACTCTGCTGGAGGCCTGAACATTACATAAAACATGACAGTACATTATTTATCAGAGACGCACAGACTCACCCGCTCCGCTGACTGTGCCGTGCCAAAGAAGATGGGGATGAAGGCGAGCCAGATGATGCAGGTCGTGTACATAGTAAATCCAATGGGTTTGGCCTCATTGAAGGTCTCTGGTACGCCACGAGTCTTGATGGCGTAAACAGTGCATGTGACCATCAAGAGGATGCTGTATCCCAGAGAGCAGATGAGCGACAGGTCAGAGATGTCACACTTGAGGACGCCGCGAGCGTTCCAGGGATCCTGCGTGCGCTGCTCACCGTAGTCCACAAAGGTGTGCGGTGGGTCGGCGGCGAACCAGATAAGGACACCGAGCAGCTGGACTGAGATCAGAGAGAAGGTGATGACCAGCTGGGAGGCTGGTGAGATGAAGCGTGGCGCCGTCACTGCCTTCTTGCCCTGCTCGAAGATGCGGTGGATGCGGTTGGTCTTGGTAAGCAGTGCGGCGTAGCTGAAGCACATGCCGAGGCCTAGGAAGATGCGGCGGAAGGAGCAGACGACCACATCCGGCGCAGCGATCATGGGGAAAGTGATGATGTAACACAGGAAGATGCCCGTCAGCAGCACATAGCTCATCTCCCGTCCTGATGCGCGAACAATGGGCGTGTCATTGTAGCGGACAAAGGTGACAATGACAAAGGTAGTGGCGATGATGCCCAGGACGGAGATGAAGACGGGTATCAGTGCCCAGGGCGAGTGCCACTCCAGCTTGATGATGGGGATGGGCTGGCAGCTCGTGCGGTTCTGGTCGGGTCTCTTCTCGTAGGGGCAGAGCTCACAGGTGAACTCGCTGGCCTGGAAGTGGTATCCCTCGCAGCGCTCACAGTGCCAGCAACACGGGACGCCCTTCACCACCTTCTTCCTCTCGCCGGTCCGGCATGGCAGGCTGCACACTGAGGCCGGCAGGGAGGAGTCGCCGGTGGTCCACTGCAGGGCCTCCATCTGAGGGGAGGAAGGAGGAACCAGGCTGGTCAACTTTTAGCTGAACAAACAACTCAGCAGCATGAGAGTGATATCATCACTTCGTAGTTTAAAGGGAAATTTCGGTATATTTCAACCTGCCTCCTATCGTCCTAAATTTGTTTCAAGTGACTAGTGACATAAAAATAATAGTTAGCATGTTAGCTGTTAGCCTAGATACAGCCGGGGCGCATAGTAGCGCCACACCTGTTAAAACATAAGTGAACGGGCAACCTTCAAGTGCAAAGTTAGTCCACTAAACAAGCATTTTTTCCACAAAGACCGCCTCATATCGTTAGGATAAATGTCAGAGAACATATAGAAAACGACATGTAAACGTGTTGTCTTACCTTACCGCTGTGCTGCCATGTTTGTTTACCATATAGCTATGCTTTCCAAAGCGCGGCCAAAATATTGCGAGAACAAGCAGCGATCTCATAGTGTGCCTGAAATCTCGCGAGAACAAGCAGCAACAGCTGGAAGGCAGAACCGGACAGTAGCCTGAAAAGTTCATTCGTTTATTTTATGAAAGATTTATAGAATAATGGCTGACTTTTTGCCAGACTTCAACTTTGTGGAGGAGGAATTTGATTTTGCAGAGTTTGATGGCCGCCCTTATTTATTTGAGCCAGAATACACTGACGAAGAGCTTTGTGAAACTGAAGAATGGAGGAGGAGAGAGAGAGAGGCGCTACAGGTAGAGGACGAGAGAGGAGGAATGGCTGCTGCAAGGCTGCGCAGCTCTGGAGATTGGTGGTGTACCTGTGAATGCTGTGCCCCAGTGCCCACAGAAGAGGAATGCCTCTGTTGCAAAGAATGGGACCGGTTGCAGCCTTATTTTCAAGGTCTGGATGTGACCGAGGACGAGACACCTCCATCTGGAGTAGTATCCAGCTGGGCTTTATCTAGAGCTCCCAAGATATATTTCGGCCGCGCTTTGGAAAGCAGAGCTACATGGTAAACAAACATGGCAGCACACCGGTAAGGTAAGACAACACGTTTACATGTCGTTTTCTATATGTTCTCTGACATTTATCCTAACGATATGAGGCGGTCTTTGTGGAAAAAAAGCTTGTTTAGTGGACTAACTTTGCACTTGAAGGTTGCCCGTTCACTTATGTTTTAACAGGTCTGACGCTACTATGCGCCCCGGCTGTATCTAGGCTAACGGCTAACATGCTAACTATTATTTCTATGTCACTAGTCACTTGAAACAAATTTAGGACGATAGGAGACAGGTTGAAATAAACCGAAATTTCCCTTTAATTAACTGTCTACATCAGAGTTCAAGGTATGTTAAACTGCAGGTAACCATAGCAGCAGGGCTTCTGTTAACTGACAGGTGAAACTAATTGCACCATGGGATAAACTGACTGCAGACGCATGGAGGAGGATTTAAACACAGCTGACATGTGTTTGTTTGGTCAGTGGACAGAATGTCCTCACAGATGTCCACATAAAGACAATAATGGACTCTCACATAGAGACAATGTGGATTCATTATGTTTAAGTATTGTTGGAGTAAACCAGGCATGTCCAAAATCCGGCCCTGGGCCAATCGTTGACTGTGGAATGATTTTAAGCAGCCCTCAGCTTGTTTCTCAAAATATACTATTTACTATAGCCCCGTATCCACCAAACACTTTCAGTATGGTACTGTTGGAACCAACAGTAACCCTTCATCAGCGGTGACACAGATGGAAGTCTGCACCTGGTTTATCATCCACAGAAAGAGACAGCAAGCCCACATTTTCAAAACAAAAAAGAACAGGCTGCAGTGAGAGTCTCTCTCCATGGGATATTTAAAAATAGCAGCTTTGTGCATTTAGTCCTTCTCAGGCAAGCTCAGGGGTTTAGTGTTGCTGTAGCCCACAGGAACGACGCTCTGTGATGCCTTTTTTTTTCCTCCAGTGAGGATTAGAATATATGCTGCTCACATAATCCTGTCGAAATTAATCTATATAAAGCTCGCAGATCCACTCATAACTAAAAGTGTATGAAAAAAAAAACTAAAGTGATGGTCAAAGTTGTCACAGCGACATTTAAGGTGTGCTGATTCTCATCGTCAGCTCATGCATTGAGTAATAGCTCAATAGGAATATTGTCTTTTTCGGAATAAGGACAAAAACCTGAACATTTTGTGCATGTAAACATAGTCATTGTATTTTTCCTCATTCTTGATAAAAGCAACAGTGGGACCACAGAGTTGTCCCCCCCGCTGGTCAAGAGTCAAGTTGTAAATCCTTACGTTTAGATGCAGTTGATTGGTCCAGTGTCCGATGACCTTGTACTCTGCCATTGACCTGTTGTTGATCTGATACTGGAAGATGTCGTAGCGTCCAGGAGCATCGCCATTCTCGTTGAAAATGACTGGAGTTCCGGCACTTCCTGTAGAAACACAAAGAAAAAAAGGTCAGATGATGGTGGCAAATCTATCCCTCTGTTAGTCAGGACACTTTAAATCACCAGACCTGCATCCACCCTGGCTGGGCAGCAATACTCTAAACAGGTTTTATATCACCCACACTCACTGTGCCAGACGTGCAGTGCTGCTGGACCATTTATCTGAATCATAGCTTACTGATTGGCTCCTGGTCATGTCACTCCACGTGCTCCTTCCTCTACAGTTTCAAGACTAGAGTTACCACCTCGTGGCTGTTGGCCCAGTCAAGTAACTGTTTATATCCATGTCTGTCCAAACTCATATGACAGCAGGCAATGCTTCAGATCTGGATGTTGCTGCCAAGAAGCAACAAATTCTAAAACATGAATCTTCACTCAAATCTGCAACTCGACAGCACAGAGGATCTATACAATCAGCTCAGCACCAAGGTCGACACCAAAGATTAGAGTCACCAATTCAGTCTCTGACCAAATGTCTCCCCTTCTGTTCCTGAGTTATTGGCTACAACCAAAATTCCAAACTAACATGCTGTGTAGGCTGAAGCAGTGCGTGAGGTGTTGTCTGAAACCAGCAGTATTTTAAGTGCTTACTGTTTCTGGTGAAATATAACAGTATGCAAACACTGGACACTACGCTGGCATAAATATCCCACAACAACAGAGGCAGCTCTGTAACGTCAATAAGTGATAAATGCCTCTAGAGGTAAATAATTTTTGTCACGTGTCTGCTGCCTGATGTGCAATTTGGGAAACTCTACATGAAGTATTGTGATGGGGTTACCGTTAAGAATGTATGATAGTACATTATTATTGAGCTTTGCTATGGGTACAAAATGGTTTGGACTTCTGTTGGCCATGCTAGTGGTGTGGCTCCAGGGATGTCCGTCGGTCACTCCACCACAAGAACTATTAGGATGCTGAGCCACAAAATCTGGTGCACACATAAAGTGTCATCTATGCCTACGACGCCAGTTATCACCCACCTACAATGCAGCCTTGAGATCCTCCCCAGACAGCTTAACATGCATTCACACCTGGACCCATCTAACCCTAACGACCCGCATGATGGCCGGGTGGGTCAACAACTCACATGTGACCCTGAAGACTCTGAAACTCAGAGCTAACACGTGAAGTGAACGACTCTGTGAAGGTTTGCACCAGAGACACATGCTGGGCTTTGAAGCCAATTTTTGTAGTGGCCAAACAGTTGTACTGCATTTTCTGGGGTCTGTCAGTTGATGCCATTGGGCCCAAAAATACTTCTCCCATTGTCTTACATTTAGGTAGAGAAGTCTTTAAATCAGTGGTTACATTTTTTTGAATGTCACAATCCCGCGAAATGACTCATTACACTACCACGATTTAATCATTTAGGTCCGATAACATTTGGAGGGTCTAAAAGAGCTTCAAGATTACTTCTTTCCCCCCATTTAAGTTAGCGTAGTGCTAAACAGGAAGTCAGCCACTCTGGCATGCTCGGCCATGGTCGGCGGCCATAAGTCTGTAGTGCGCCTGCTCTATGAGCCCAATGTAATGTCATACCGTGGAAATAGAGCTTTTTTTAGTGCCATGTGCCACTGTACAACTTTCCTAAGAATGAACGGGGGGGCTGCCACTAATGCTGTATCCAGGCCTCTTAATACATCAATGGTTTGCATCCACAGAGAGTTTAAAGCCTGCAACTCCCCATCAGTCAAAACATGTCCAAGAAACTCCAGCTAGTCTAATTACCTTCGATATAGCCCTGAGAAGCATTATCTGGTGACATAGATGCCTTGGATATAACGTCACACAACGAGTTCACCTGTGGAGTAAGGTTAATCCTACTGAACAAAAGCAAACAAAAAAACCTGTCATCATCTTGCAGAGACCAGTAGGACTGAGGCTGGCATGCATTACTCATCGTCTCTAGCGTCATTCGTCTCTAGTTGGCAAGAAGGCTCTCAGGAAGTGCCATGGTTATTACAACTTATTGTGTTCGAGAGGATACTTATGACTTTATTTACACAAAAGCATGTTGACGACAGTGCATATATTTTGTATGAAATGCAGAGTATGAGATTTCGGACGCAGCAATGGCGCAGTAGATTATGAGGTCCCAGGGAAGTTGACCTTTTGAATGTAAAATATCATCACTTTATCATTTTATGTGAAATGTTATCATGATAAGCATATCTTTTTTAACAATGCTTTTATTGGGGTTTTCAATCATAAAAGATATCACATATAAATAAAGTCAGTCTTGGCAGCAAATATGGTAAACCATCAAATGAAAAGGCAGACAAGGAAAAGAAAAAACAAAGAAAAACAGCGATGAGTAAACAAATGTTACGGTGGTGAACAGTAATCATGTATTACATGCTATACTCTATAATCCTTATTCAGTTGCCCTGCCCCACTCCAGTCTTTGGTTTTATTAAACACTATCAACACTTTCAAAAAGTCCATGAGGCTCCCACAGATATTTTCAAACACTGCCAGCTTTCCTTTAATAATATATGTCAGTTTTTCTGCAGCAACACATATTCATAAATCCTTAATCTATTGATTCATACTTGGTGTGTTCACATCTTTCATCTTTGCTCTTTTAGCATGTAAGAGACACGAGTCTTTTAGTGCATGGTCACTACTCTTAGTAATAAAATCCTTTGGATAAATACCTAAGATGCACAGTTTTGACCAAAAAGGGATTTTGTTATTTGTTTAACCACGTCAGGAACCGCCTTCCAAAAACTACATTCCCACAAGCAGTGAAGCAGTGTTCCTTTAGCATTGTTGAGTTAATGTTTTGTGACATCACAGTGATTTTGAACTTTGACTACCAAATTTTGATCACTTCAATTTTTTTTGTGCCACATTTGAAGATTGAGATATCTTGAGATATCACATACATATGGACAGACAACCCAAAGAGCATTATGATGTTGCTGACGTGGAGGCATAAAAACGTGAGATGCGAGACAAACAGTTATCCCAACCAATGGAGGTGAGAGATGAAAAGTGCAAGAACCAACATGTGTTTTTTAGAGAATCAATGGGTGTCAGAACAAACTGAAATAAATCATACAGCGGGAGGTGTTTAAGAACTTCCTACTTAACACTCATTAGGTGACTTCTACCACAAGGTCACCTCTGGAGCAACCACAGCCACCCTTGTGTGATTTTTCTTCATTTAGTGAAAACTCATGATGATTGATGTCGTTCTAACACGACTCTGAACTGACCACAGCCACTGTTCTCTGTTACGGCTCTACTTGATGCTGCCAGCGTGGGTTTGAACAAAGTATTGTTTTTGTATCCATCTGTGTTGTCTTTTAAAGCAGTAAGCTGTTATTTTCTCTCATCTTTTCCTGGTGCGGCAGGTTTGAGTCATCTTATCACACTTTGCTCGCCAGCGCGTCACCAAAACAACCACACTAACATCTTGTTGCCTTATTGACTCAGTCCCTGCCAAGATAAATCCCATGCTGGTCGACACGGTTCACACTTTAGCCTCCAGTTTAATAATAATAATAAAAAAAAGAAGAAACAAACTCCCGAAAGGCAAAAACATTTTCATCTCAACCTTTGACTTCAGTCACACTCTAATGTTCTAGTTTCCATCGTAATTTTTCATGAGCACTGATGTTAAAACTGCCACACACTTTGGAAACATGTATAATAATAATACTCTGAGGTTTGACACCTACATATTATCATTTAAAGAGGCCTCTCTTCACAGGATAAGATCCTTTATCCCCCATGGTGATTAACAATGCTTTATGTAGTTTATTTGTGAATCTCCATGTGATAATAACCCCCTTTCATTTTCAGTCTTTGCAGATTTTGACAGCCTGGTCTCACTAAAAAAACGACTGTGCAAGCAGCTTATTACAACCCATTCTACCTTTGTAGTAGGGAGGTGCCCTCTAGTGGCTGTAGTAATTATTACAGCAGCAGAGTAGGAAGTGACATGACGTAGCATAAAAAGCTACAAAGTCCATCTAATGTAAAAATATCTAAAAGCCCCTATAGGCTGGGCGGTCACGTAGGCGGATGGGTCAAACAAGCACAGGACTTTCACCCAGGAGACCGGTGTTAATGTCCCAAAGTCAGCATTGACTTGTTTGATACGACATAGACTGGTATGCCAGGGAAATGTAACATGCTATGCTAATGATGTATTTGACTTATGTCACGTGACACATGTCACATTATGTTGACAAAAGTAATTATTAATGCCAAACCATGATGTTTTTTTTCTAAACCTAAACATGTAGTTTTGTTGCCGTCACCAAACCAAGTAGTTCTGAAGTGGAACTGCAATAATTTCATTATGTTTAGGACGCATTCAAAACTGTGACCACAAGAACTGTAATATGTGATGTTTTGGGACTGACCGTTAGAACGGTGATGTATGTAATTTTGGGGCCGACCATAAGAATGGCATTTATGTCGGTTTGGTGTGGGCCATTAGAACGGTGATGTCAGGGCGTAAAATTAACACACACCAAGCGCCAGTGGCGGGTAAAAAATGAGTTTGGCGTGTAAAACAAAAACACACACCCGCCAGTGGCTGATGGAAAATTTTGAATTGCATGTGGGTTTTTTATGTGCTTCGACCATTTCTGCCAGCTGTGTCCAGGGACGGTTTTTGCTATAGACAATGTGGGCGACCGCTCAGGGCGTAAAACTAGCCAGAACCGCCTCTGGCTGTGTCAGAGTATTTTGACCTTCACGGCTTATTGTACATGTGCCGGGAACGCATGACGTCAACTACCGGAACTTGTTTCTTGGGCATTCTATGGTAACTTCTGAGCAAGATGTGGCGACACTTCTGCCGTGAAGCCACCACCAGAAAAGAGGAAAAACAAAGATGAACATGTTGGACTTGGACAAGAAGAACAGACAGTTAAACAGAGTACAAATGTCGCATGGCATTTTATTGAAAAACGGAAACTAGACGAGGTCAGCCACGGTCATGGCTGACCTACGACCCCCACACC